GTCTTCAGTAATAAGAATTTTGAATGTAAAGTTTGCTTTATGGATAAGCTAGGGAATCATTGTTTAGAATTCTGGCCTTGCCATCATGTATATTGCAAAGACTGTATGGCATCTTATTTTGAGGTGCAGATCAATGAGGGAAACATCAAGTTCCTCAGATGTCCTGAGGATGACTGTGAATCAGAAGCCAACCCAAAACAGGTAATTTTCTCCCTCATTTTTTCATTTCTTGAACCCAATGCTGATGGGCATGGCATGTACATACATGTCATTTCCCTTCTGAGTTTACTTTAATAATTGTTTTTACACATAGATGGCTACACTTGTACTAAGTCACAAATGAGCCAATTACGAGTACTGCCTGTCTTGGCTGTTTACCCTTTTCCTTGATTTACAAAAATATTTAACGTTATCTTATTTTGCTGTTACTAATGTTTATAACATTATGGTAGTTATAATGTCTACAATGAAAATAACTCCATTGGTATTCATAGCATTAGTAAAAAATAAATTTTTCCCGCAAATTCAGGGAAAGGTAAGGTCGCAAGGTCTACTAACTGACTCCTTTGTGGTTAAGCACTAGCAGAGCCATCTGTGTGAAAAGACATTTCACAGAAAGAAAGAAAAAAAAATGAGCGCAGCATTTTCCCCATTTTTTATGCATTTTCTCCAGCAGCATGTGGTTAAGGTCTAATTTAATTTGATTTGATTTAATATATATTTTTTGGGGGGAATTCTGGGATCTATTCTTTTTATATTAAAGTGGAACGTAAAAAATAAGATTTTAGATTTCCTCCTCTATTACAGTACACACTTTAATTTACTCTTGTTTGTCAGAGTCTGCAATGCAGTCAGCAAATAAATGATTGGATGGATTGAATTTATTCTTATTTGATTTATTATGATTAATATTATAAAAAAAAACTTCAATGACAAAACAATTTTATAGGTTCAAGAGCTTGTCTCAGAAGATATGTACAAGAGATGGGATGAAATGTTGCTCAACACTACACTGTCTGCATTGGGTGATATCCAGCCTTGCCCAAGGATGCATTGCCAGTATCCTGTGACTATAGAGGAAGGCCAAGGGACCTGTCCTTCGTGCAAGTTTGTCTTTTGTGGTTTGTGCAGGTGAGGTCATTGCTATGTTTTTTAGGGGTATGTGTGCAGTTAGGTCTTTTCAGGAATACAGTGCCAAGTTTAGCTAGGTCTTGTTCTTATTGCTGAGAGAATAAGGAAATCAAACATAGTAATAAGTGTTAGGTTTGTGGTTAGATTTCAAAATCTTCAAAAGGACGTGATTGTAACTTGTATATAGGATATTTGCAGATAGCAAATTTTGTTTTAATATTGCAATACTGAAAAACTTCCTGTTAATAGAATGCATGTTCATATTGAAAACTTATATTTTTTATCACAGATTTGGATGGCATGGGATTGAGCCTTGTAAGCTGAAGAAGACTGAAGCAAGGCAAGCCTTAGATCTGTATGTAAGTGGAGACGAGGATGCCAAACGGGAACTGGAAAGAAGATTTGGCAAGAAGTACATGGAAATGCTGATGAACGAGTACCTTTCCCTGAACTACTTGGAAGAGAATGCAAAGCAGTGCCCCAAGTGCTATGCCAAGATTGAGGTGAGTCTTTGTTGTTGTTTTTATGTGAGAATTAGAATCAGAGTTACCCTTTTCCCCATTTTTTCTGTCATTGCAGGAGTTAACTGTAGATACTGATGTTATTTCTGTGGTTACTGTATGATATTGTTGCACCTTCCCAAAATCAGGATTCTATATTAATTAGACAAAACACAGTTCTATCTTTAGGAATGGAAAGAAACTTAGTCTGTAAGCTGGATTTCAGAAGTGAACAAGATTGAATTTATATGATAAATTGGCACATTGATATATGCTAACACTATAAAGCAAAATATTTCACAAAGCTACTTCCTGGGGTATACAGAGGGAAAGGGGGAAGTAATAAAGATCTAATTTTTCCTATGACAGAAAATCTCTGGTTGCAACAAGATGACTTGTCACCGTTGCAGAGTAGATTTCTGCTGGCTGTGTATGCTCTATTTAGACAAAGAACGTCCTTATGATCATTTCAACAAAGCGAATGGAGCTTGTTACGATAGGCTGTTTGAAGGTGTTGAGGATGAAGAGGATGACTGGTAGTGTGATTATTAAGGCGTTTGGGAACTTAGAATACTGTGATTAAGATAAAAGAAAAAAAAACTCTTATAAAAATTGTCTTTAACCCGCTGGCACTGGGGCACATGCACTGTCCACATGTAGTTTTCTTTTGTCAGTTTTGTTTACACATAGCTGAGTTCAGAAGTACTCATGGTCACCAATGAGTTAATTATTAGGCCTACCAGCTCTCACCTGTTTACCCCATTCCTTGAGTTTTCTGGATTTTTTTCCTACTACTACTATTATTGTTATTAACATTATTATTATTATTATTATTATAATGTTAACGATAATGGTAGTATTAAAGACAA